AGAGAGAGAAAAATCTTTAAAAATATAAACCCCCTCTCTTCCTATTGATCAAAAAAATATATTTTTGTCATTTCTTTACTTTTTTTTCTTAATTTTTTTTTTCATCGAAATTTAAAGAATTCAAAACTGAATTAATTTAAGACTATGAAGAAGAGCAGATTTCAAAGTGAAGAAGTTTCACAGAGTATCATACAAGTACTTTTAACTTAAAAGTTGCTTCTTCTTCCTTCCTTCCTTCCCCAGTCATGAATAACTGCACTCAGCAACGGCTACCACCACCAACCTTCTCTATACTACTATATACCTTGAACAAAGCCTCCGCAAGAGTGCTTTTTAAAAATAATCTCAAACTGCGTCAAAGCGAAAAGTTCTTGATTTCTCTCATCATAAAGAGATCATTTTAAAAACCCCTTTGGAAAATAAAAAAAATTTCTAAAACTTTTAACTGCGAATGTTTAACTGACTTACAGTTCAAAATATATTAACTAACATATACACATCGCGAGGGAATATGAATTTTATTTTTCATTCAAATCATATTATTATATTTATTATTATTATTGATATAAACAATTTTTTTTAAACTATACCATACCAAATAGCACGGAATATTCGATTCACATTCCAGGAATATATAATTGGAACATTTGGAATATTTCATCCATATTCCAGGAATATGAAAATATCCGACCTTTGGAACGTTCCTGAGGAATGTTCTATGAATATTCCAATCGAATATTGAAGGAATATTCCATTCGAGGAAAATTTTTTTCATACGATATTCCTACAATATCCCCTAGGAATATTCTTACAAATATTCCACTAAAAAAAATTCCTCTAAATTTTTACCCTATTTTATTATCATTGAATATTTCTCTAAAATATTTCTTGAATATACGAAAATAAAATATTCCAATGATATTCCACACACGATTTAAAAATATTGTCCTTCATTAATGGAAATATTAATGGAATATTCGTACAATATTCTAATAGAATATTATTCTATATGTTCCAAAAAAATAAAAAACCTTGCGCTTTTTGCTGTTGTATAAAAAATTTTTTTTTTCGTATTTAATACATATATTACTTATTCCCCGGTTTTATCGTATCCAATCTAAAGGTAATTGCATTTTTTTTCAATGTCCGACTAATAAATGATAAATTTCAACCAACTTTTAGCTTCACTGCGTTATGTTTAATTTAAATTTTTTTTTGTACAATATTTAACCATACGTATGTGGATTTTATTACCGCGGGCGAAATACATTATGTGTAGGGAGAATCAACAATTTCAGCAAAATTTTCATTACATAATTATGCAAGCGTATAATAAATATGAAACTGTTTTATTTTTGAAAAATTCACGTTATTTTGATAAAGATTAATTGAAAAAAGTGAAGAAAAAAAATTATAAAATTAAATTTATTACACAATTGATAAATATTTTATGTTAATGAATATTGACATAAAATATGTCTCTGTATGCTTTTTTTCCTACATTAATAAATAAACTTTTCTACGTATTTTTGTCTTTTAAAAAAACATTTTAAGTAAATATTAATTTTTAAAAAATGTATAATCGACTTTAGAGAGAGAAAATATATTTTAATTCTTTCAATTAAATAGTTATCAAATGCATTTTTCTTCTAGATTATTCAAAAGTTTCTCCAAAAAAAAATTTTTTATCTCATCCATTTTGTATCAAAACAAAAAAGAATAAAGAAAATATTTTTCTCTCTCATCGTTTTTTGTAGAAAATTTTTGAAAAGCCAAAGCAGGTCACACAATTTATTCATAAATCATTCGACATTTTTTTTTTTTACATTTATGCGACAAAAATTCTAACATAAAATTTTTATATTCCTATTACAATTTTACTCATCTCATGAGAGCACCAAAGAACATTGTCTCTTACTCTCAAAAAAAAAGTCGAGAGTTTTTTAAAAATTATTATTTTTTTTTTTTTACATCTTTCTGTAAATTTTTTATATATAATAAAACCATCGAGAAAAGCAAAAAAAGTTGTTCCACCTTTTAATTGAATTTATAAATAAATTGAATGTTAAGCACACAAGTTTTAAAATAGTTTCTTGAAAAACAAAATCCTCTTGACAAAAAAATATTTAAAATAAAAAATAATAGATTCTAACATTTAATTGATTTTAATTAAAAGTTTAAAAAAATAAACATTTAATTATTTTTTGAGACAAAGGCTTAAGATAAGGAAAAAAAAAACTTTAGCAATGGTTGCTAAGGAAAAAAACTGTCATGGAAACGGTTGCTATTAAAACAACTACTATGGAAACGGTTGCTATGGTAACAGTTGGTACTATGGCAACAGTTGGTTACTATGGCAACAGTTGGTTACTATAGCAACAGTTAGTTACTATGGCAGAAGTTACTATGGCAACAGTTGGTACTATGGCAAAAGTTACTATGACAACAGTTGGTACTATGACAACAGTTGGTACTATGGCAAAAGTTACTATCACAACAGTTGGTACTATGGCAAAAGTTACTATGACAACAGTTGGTACTATGACAACAGTTGGTACTATGGCAAAAGTTACTATCACAACAGTTGGTACTATGGCAACAGTTGGTACTATGGCAAAAGGTACTATGGCAAAAGTTACTATGGCAAAAGTTACTATGACAACAGTTGGTACTATGACAACAGTTGGTACTATGGCAAAAGGTACTATGGCAAAAGTTACTATGGCAAAAGTTACTATGACAACAGTTGGTACTATGACAACAGTTGGTACTATGGCAAAAGTTACTATCACAACAGTTGGTACTATGGCAACAGTTGGTACTATGGCAAAAGGTACTATGGCAAAAGTTACTATGACAAAAGTTGGTACTATGACAACAGTTGGTACTATGGCAAAAGTTACTATCACAACAGTTGGTACTATGGCAACAGTTGGTACTATGGCAAAAGGTACTATGGCAAAAGTTACTATGACAAAAGTTGGTACTATGACAACAGTTGGTACTATGGCAAAAGTTACTATCACAACAGTTGGTACTATGGCAACAGTTGGTACTATGGCAAAAGTTACTATGGCAAAAGTTACTATGACAACAGTTGGTACTATGACAACAGTTGGTACTATGGCAAAAGTTACTATCACAACAGTTGGTACTATGGCAACAGTTGGTACTATGGCAAAAGTTACTATGGCAAAAGTTACTATGACAACAGTTGGTACTATGACAACAGTTGGTACTATGGCAAAAGTTACTATCACAACAGTTGGTACTATGGCAACAGTTGGTACTATGGCAAAAGTTACTATGGCAAAAGTTACTATGACAACAGTTGGTACTATGACAACAGTTGGTACTATGGCAAAAGTTACTATCACAACAGTTGGTACTATGGCAACAGTTGGTTACTATGGCAACAGTTACTTACTATGGCAGAAGTTACTATGGCAATAGTTGGTACTATGGCAGAAGTTACTATGGAAACAACTACTATAGTAACGGTTGCTATGGAAACAAATAGTATGGAAAGGGTTGCTATGGAAACAACTACTATGGAAACGGTTGCTATGGTAACTGTTGCTTTTAATTAATTGCTATTAATTTATAAAATTTTCTCTACTTTAATTTTTGAAATTAAAAAAGTTAAAATTAAAAAATTGAATTAATTAAAATTAGAGTTTTTTAATTAAAAAAATGAATTTAAAACCAATTTTTGAATAATATTAATAATGGAATGTCTCTTGTAGAATGGATAGAGAGAGGATAATTTTGTCAATGACTGTACGAGTAATACGTCCTTAAAAATGACACTTGCAGTGCAGTGTTCTGTTATTTGACAGGATATCTCCCCAAAAGCATTCACCGCCCCAAAGTCCATAATTTCACTCAATTAGAATTAGGGGAAACACACTCGTCGCCATGTGTATATACTTGGTGGATTTTGGTAATGTCGTTGAGGCGAGTAAATATATATATATATATATATATATAGTTCTCGAAAAGCGTTCATGTCTATGCGCGAAGGCGCGCCTCTATTGATAATCCATTAAAGCACCTGTCCGAGGCGACAGAGACAATGTACTCATGAACATTTTAGCGAGAAGCGCACATACACAATATCAAAATACTCACATTCATGTCACAGGGGCCATTATATCGATAGTATTTTTTTTTTTTCTTTTTTTTTTTATTTTCTTGCGGGGCAACATATGGTCAGGCTCGCGTCATCATCCTATTGCATTAAAACAGAGAAGAAGGGTGGTGAAAAAAAAAGTAATTTCGAAAGTTACAACTTCCTTCTTCCTGCGAACGCGGTGATAGGAAGAGCCTATATGCTCCATTTAACAACACTTTAATAGGCAACTTACTTTTTCATATCCATAATCTTAATGTTTTTCCAATAAATATATTAAAAACAAAAAAGAAAACAAAAGGTGCATCATCTTCATAATCTCCGCGCACATTTTACGATATAACTTTTCTATTAGAGAAAAAAATTACATTTTTTTTTCAAAATACCATTGTAAAAAAATTGCCATTGATAAAAAATACAGTTTATTTAAAATTATCCGCAATTTACTTTCATTTTATAATTATTATTTTATTTAAAAAAATGTTCTATTATTTAATTGATATTTTCTGAATTTAAAATAATTTATATGTTACATAAAGTAAAGAAAAAAATATGGCTATTTTTTAAGGACCATTAAATGTACCAGGGACCACCCTGCTTTCAACCCCAGATTTACTCGGTTCAAATTGACCCCTAATTTATTTGGGCGTGAGATAAAATCCTAAATAAATATTTATTTTTTGCGACAAAATTGATATATTTCAGCTTATTATGTCAATAAAATGGAAAATATATTAAAAAATTTTTTTAATTAATTCTAAAATGTGTGTTTAAAAGTATAAAATTATAAATAATAATTTATAATTCTAATAATTTGGTAAAAAAAAAAATTTTGAAAAAATAAAATATAATTAAAAAACAAACTTACTTTCTCGATATTGAATGACGCTCTCGTGACGGAGATTAATGATCATACATCGATAACAGCCCTCTGTACTGTAATAAAAAATAATAACAAACCAATTAGTTAATTCATTAAATAATAAATTTTCATTTTTTCCAATGAAATATTAAGAAATAAATTTAATTATTAAAATAAGTTTTTGAATATATTTAATTTTACTATTACTTTATATTTAGAAAAATTTTTACATGACTAAAATGTTGTTATTTCAACATTATTATATAATTCTGTCAAAATTATAAATTCTCTAATAATTAGAGGAATATATAATAATATGTTGTAAAATTATATACATTGTACATTATGTTAAATATATTATTATATTTAAAGCGAATTTTATTTAGTCTAATTAGAATAATTTGCCTATCTAATTAGTTATTATAGCGATTATTCCTTGAATAATGGAAATTTACGAAAAAAAAAAATAAATAAAAAAAAATAAATAAAAAAAAATATTTTTAACATGAAGATAATGGAATTATAATTTATTTAGGAAATATATGAACGTGGAGCCAAAATTGGTTAAATAAACATGAAAATGATTATTCAAGAGGAAAGAGATTATATATAGTGCTTTCTACAGGATGCAATAACGGATCAATAATTTTGCATTGAGTAGCTCGTTTCGCAATCGGATTAAGGCATTAATGTTGCTATTTGACGAAGCAAAGAGAATAATAATTAAGGCTTGAAGCATATACATATATCTGTATATAGATTATAGGTATATATATATAAATATAAAAATTTACTCACTTATCGCGAACCACGAATACATCCTCCTTGTTACTCTCAATACAGGTTTTATTTTCAAAAGTTGTTGAATTCACAATGACTGGTGAATCACGACCATGTAAAAACCATTTCCCTTTCCAACTCGCTGGAAATTCACAATTTCCTGAAACATACAAAAAATTTGAAACAATTATTAATCTACCTCTCATCATTAAATTCCACTTAATATCCATAATGTTTCATGCAAAATTATTCCACAACAATATTTTTCTATATTTTTTGCATTTTTTAATATTTTTTTTGACATTATATTTTTTTTATTTATTTATTTTTGATATTATATTGAATATATTTTTCATGAAAAATACAAAAAAGAGATAATGAAAAAAAAGAATGTCAATTATAGAAATAAAAATTTTAAATTGTATAATAAATTTAAACACAAGTATGTCGACAACCAATAATAAATGAAATCCAATTATTGACAGTTTTATTTAATCGCAGAGGATTATGGAAATAATTTTTCAAATGATACGCGTGTTGAAAATCTGGAATCGACAGATATTTTTTATAAAAATTTTTCAAAAAATAAATGAGAGATATTTTATAAAATGTGTATCTGGCTTGTCTCACAATAAATGAAAATTGTGAATAAATCAAAAAAAATATTTTTTATTCGATATAAAAATTTTAGAAACGAATATTTTATATTTTTCTATATAAATACATCTACATATAGATGAATATATTTTACTAACAATATATTTGGATACGTAAAAAAAAAAAAATTATTTATAATATTTTAAAAATAATTTGAAATATTTTTTTATCGTAAAAAATTTTAAAACATTTTTGTTTTGTAAAAAAAAATTTTTCTATGCCGTAAATTATTTTTGAAGTTTTGCACTAGAATAACTTGAAAATGGAATCAGAGTCATTGTCAAACGTGCTCCCAATTTTTTTTTTTTTTGAAATTTTTGAAGCGAGAATTTTTTTTATATACATATATATGTATGTGTGTGTCTAATGCCTTAACTGAGAGCAGTTAATACTACAATGCGGGTTACTTTAACGACCGATTGAACTTTTCACAAAGGTTGTCAGAGCGCTTATTCAAAAGCTTGACGGATAAAAGGCGTTTCTTACTCTTTTCCCTGATAGGTGATATTGAATTTTTCCTTCGACTTTTTCTAATTTATCGACTATTAAACGACAAGTCGAGCTGAATGTTTGCACACGACATTAAAGGGATTTTCCAGTCATCTGAATGGAATAAGTCTAAAAGTCATCGACAAAAAACTACATAATATATATACATATATATGCATATAAGATTAAAAAAGAATTAATAATTATTGAAATTTTTATTAAATTTTCAATTTAATTTTTATTTTATTTTTTGCCTACTATTTCAATTTTTTTTTAATTTCAACACTTGATTTCCATTTGAATAATTATTTCATATTTTTTTTTGTATTTAATTTAAATTTAAATTAAACATTATTAGATTAATAAAGTGATAATTTCGATAAATTTATAAATAGAAATGTCCTTTTTTCGTTTATTTCTGATGTTGGGAAAATTGAAATTATTGAAAAGAGAAATTATAATTATTGTGATCTAAATAATGTTAAATGAAATAATGGCTTTAAATTGCATTGCAAATAATATAATAATATTTTTAGAGTTGAAAAATATGTCATGAACTGAATATTCTAATTTTCATTATGTATGTTTTAATGAATTTTTAAATAATGAAAAATGACATTTCTTCTATTAGTTTTTTGTTTGTTTGTTCAAAAATAGAAAAGCTAGCATTTAATAATTAAATATGAATACAAATTATATTCATGAATTATGTATTATTTGAACTCGATAATTTTACAAAAAAACAGTTGACAACTCGATATTGTAGAAATATTTCAATGTAATTTTATTGGAATATTCCACGAATGTGAATGGAATATTTTGTGCAATTGAAGAGTATTTTTGAGGAATATTATTTTAATATTCTTGTAGAATATTATTATGAAATATTGGAATATTCTTATGGAATATTTTTGTGGAATATTTTAGAATTATATTTGTGAAAATTATTTCTGAGAATTGTTTTAGAAATATAATTGAACAGTGACAAGAATCACATTTAATTTTTTAGTAAGAGTATAAGAGACAGAGAGAGAGAGAGAGAGAGAAACGCGAAACACAACACAACAATGGAGCAACTCAAGTATCCAACCCCATCTTCTGAAATCTTTCCCCCAAAACTGTTCCATTTCCGAATCGGTTCCCTTTATCTTTCACGCCAGCTTTGTGACAAGCGATTTCGACACGCGCGCAGCGAATTGAATTCAACAATCCCTAGACTCTGTTTCCGTGGGCTTCAGCAGGGTTTCCGTGGGTTGATAGCAGACGCGATTTCAGTTTGTTCGCCAGCAAAAAGACTAAATGTCGTTTCCGCAGCAGGGAATGAATATCAATGGCGAGCGCTAAAAATTTTTATGCCTCCACAACATTTGACCTCACATTGTCCACTTTTTTTTTTTTTTTTTTTTTTCCTGTATACCAACGCACCCCACAATGACCACTAACATTCTCGCACATTTACCATATAGTGTATCGCTATACATATATATTTTTACCACTTTCGTTCTCGTATGTATATACCATTATATTAGCTCATATGCATATATATTTCCGCATATTCATATACATTTCAATTTTTCTTGAAAACTGCGCACCTGAAAAGCAGTAAATGTCCCTGACAGAAAGGAAATTATATCAACTTTGTGCGCGAGGAGTTATTGTTGAAAATTGTCAAAATGCCAGTTTATATTTTGGCAATTTTTCTGTCGTAAAAATGTGCCTCAACAAATGACAATTTTTGTTTTAGAACATTTTTTTTTTATTTTGCAAAAAGGAGGAAAAAAAATTGGAAATATTTCCAGGAATATTTAATTGGAATATTGGAAATTTTTCCAGGAATATTTAATTGGAATATTGAAAATATTTCCAGGAATATTTAATTAGAATATTGGAAATATTTCCAGGAATATTTTATTGGAATATTGGAAATATTTCCAGGAATATTTAATTAGAATATTACCAGGAATATTTATTGGATTATTCTATTTCAATATAAGGAATACTTCTGTGAATATTTGTTTTGGATATTGGAAATATTTCAAGGAATATTTAATTGGAATATTGGAAATTTTTCCAGGAATATTTAATTGGAATATTGGAAATATTTCCAGGAATATTTAATTAGAATATTGGAAATATTTCCAGGAATATTTTATTGGAATATTGGAAATATTTCCAGGAATATTTAATTAGAATATTACCAGGAATATTTATTGGATTATTCTATTTCAATATAAGGAATACTTCTGTGAATATTTGTTTTGGATATTGGAAATATTTCCAGGAATATTTAATTGAAATATTTTGTTTGGATATTGAGAATATTTCCAGGAATATTTAATTGGAATATTGGAAATATTTCCAGGAATATTTAATTAGAATATTGGAAATATTTCCAGGAGTATTTAATTGGAATATGAGAAATATTTCCAGGAATATTTGTTTTGGATATTGGAAATATTACCAGGAATATTTAATTGGATGAATATGAATATAAGGAATATTTCTAGGTATATTTTAATTAGATATTGGAAATATTACCAGGAATATTTATTGGATTATTCTATTTCAATATAAGGAATACTTCTGTGAATATTTTGTTTGGATATTGGAAATATTTCAAGGAATATTTAATTGAAATATTTTGTTTGGATATTGAGAATATTTCCAGGAATATTAAATTGAAATATTTTGTTTGGATATTGAGAATATTTCCAGGAATATTTTTTTGGATTATTCTATTTGAATATAAGGAATATTTCTAGGAATATTCTGTTTGGATATTGGAAATATTACCAGGAATATTTATTGGATTATTCTATTTCAATATAAGGAATACTTCTGAGAATATTTTTTTTGGATATTGGAAATATTTCCAGGAATATTTAATTGAAATATTTTGTTTGGATATTGAGAATATTTTTTTGGATTATTCTATTTGAATATAAAGGAATATTTCTAGGAATATTCTGTTTGGATATTGGGAATATTACCAGGAATATTTAATTGGATTATTCTATTTGAATATTTCTAGGAATATTTTTTTAAAGCAGGTAAATATACAGATAGAATGATTAAAAATAGATAATGTATAATTACGAGAAAAAGATTTAAAAATATATATAAATTTCTGTCACATATTTATATATATAGAGAGAGATTCGTCAATATGTATATACATTCCGGTACATATGTCCTGTATATGTATATATATATATATATCCATATTCCTACATTCATGAGTGTCTATATCCTATTTGCAGATATGTATAGACTTGTGTACATATACATGGCATGCACAATGGCGTTAATTGGAAGACAAGGCTATATAGAGACCATACATACCGGGCATGCACGGTGGAGGACCCCCAACCCCATCACCAACCCCCATCACCCATTTTCCCCCATACATATATATATATATAGTAGAAGAGAGAGCCCCCGAGGCTGACGGTCCTTCGTGGGAAACAAGCGCTCTGTTCGCCCACTGCCTTGGGGCCATATATACCCTCAGACACATATATATACATCCACCCGCACAAAATTTTGCGCATGTGCATATATATATATATATATATATATATTTTCTATGGATGTACAAGTTGCATATTAGTGCGTGTGAAAGCACATGTTGCCTTGTAATACGTTATGGACACTATTCTCGAATAAATGGAGCAAAATGTCGAATATTTGTACCAAAAATGGATGGACAGGAGAAAAGAGGATTAATTTCGAAAAGGATGAGAAAATAATGGTAAACAAAAAAAAAAAAAAAAAAAAGAATACGAGGAACATTGTATAGAGTTAACAAAAGCGTTCACGCATATTTTGCCGCATTGGTTTAACCACCGTGCATATGGATAAATTTTAAAAATAAGCCCCTATTATTATATATACGTTTTAGGCATTTTTTTTTTGTTATTTTCCGAATTATTTACTAATTTTTTGTTTGTTTCAAACAAATTTTAATTGTCATAAATAAACTTTGGTTAAGAAAACAATATTTCTTTCTATTTA